AAATTCTAATTTTTAAAAATTTTAAAATTTTTTGGTTTTTTTTTTTTTTTTTTTTTTTTTTTTGGTTCAATTTTTAATGATTTTTAAAAAATTGTATTTTTTTTTCTTAATCCAACAAATACCAACAATTATTGTCATTATAATATTTTTCTCATTTTACTATGAGAAAGTAAAAGTTATTTATTTTTTTTTTTGAATTTTTTTTTCGTTGCTGTCTCAAACAAACAAGTGTCGGCCTGTGTTTGGATCGATGAGATAGAGAAAAAAAAATATGAAAAAAACAACAACATAATAGCTTCAGCTCTATTCAACCATTCGTTCATTCATTCATTCATTCATCTGTTCATTATTTGGTGAAATGATGATATATGTCAAGGTTAAGTGAAAAGTGTTATATGATGATGATGATGTTGATGAATGTTTGTTTGATGATCGAATATATGAAACGTTTGAAAAAAAGTGGCTTTAAAGTTATTTTATTTTTAATGGCCCAAAAAAACAAAATCAAAAATATAAAATAAACTTTGTTTTTCGATTATTTTAATCGATTTCGTTTGACTTGGATTTATTTATTTATCGGTGTTTGTGTTTATATCCATCATTTCATAAATATTCCCGAAACGAAGAATAACCCAAAAATATGATTCAATTCAATTGGAAAAAATTCTTTTAATTTTAAAATTATAAGAAACGTTTGCTATTATTATTATTGATATATTTCATTCATCAATTTGATTGATAACAAGGAAAAAGGGTTAAAAGAAAATTGCGGGATAAAAATTTGAACATTTTAATATAATATCCTAATATATGTAAATGTGAAATATAAGAAAGAGAGCGAAAGAGAGAGAAACAAGATTAAATATAATTTTAGAATTTGTAATTAAAGTTTTATAAAGATAATTAGAATAAATGAGAGAGAGAGAAGTTATCAACGGAGTGGATGGAAAAAGGCAAATTTTTTGGATAAATTCTTTGGCGGTGGATTGATTGATCAAGGTAAATTTGAAATTTTTTTTTCTTGTTGCATTTTTGCATCAATTTTTTTTCTTTTTTTTTGGTTTGGTTTGGTTCGAATGATTTTTTTTATAAATTAATAATTTATTTTATTTAACAAAAGTAAACAAATGTTGATTGTGTGTGTGTGTGAGGGGACATATGGGGTTAACAATAATAAGAAATTGAGATAGAAAGGGGGTGAATTTTTTTCTTTGTTTTTTTTTTTGGTTATTCAAATTTTTTTTTGGGAAGGGATTGCAAGAATAAATCAATCACGATTGATAATTGTGTTTGTGTTTGTGTGTGTGGCAGGTGTCCAGGTAAATGAATAACGATAATAATCAACGAAAAAAAGAAGAAGAAAAATAAGAAGAAGGATTGATTGATTGAAGATGGTAATGAGCGAATTGTTTTTGTTTTCAAAACGGGATCAATTTCGGGTGTTTCGATTGTTCGATCGATCCATCGATGGTGATGAAGAACTGATGATAATTTCAAAAGAAACTGGATTTTTTTGGTTGTAATTTATAAATATTGTTGTTTTTAAAACAAAACAAAACAGAAAAAAAAACATAAAGATAAAATTGAATAAAAAAAACAACAAAAACAAAATATTTGTCATCATCATCATCAGCATTACATTTCGTTGATTTGATTTGAATAATAAATTATAATTATAATTTGTAATTTAAAATTTAAAATTAATAATTAATAATTTTTTTTTTGTTGTCTAAATAAATTTTACATAGATTGAAAATTTGTTGAATGCATATGTTGTTGTGATTCCATTTGTAATCCTTTTTCAATTTCTGAATCAACACTTTCCGGTGGTATACCAACATTTGCAAATAAACTTTTCAATGCATTCAATTCTTTATTAAGTGAATCAACTTTTTTCCTTAACTGTTCATTTTCACCGGCTAATTGTGATACTTTTTTTTCCGTTTCTCGGCTACGAACTTTAGCTTTTTCACGACTTTTTCTAACAGCAATATTATTACGTTCACGTCGTTTTTTATATTCATCCGATCCTTTATCAACATGTTTTTTAGAATGATTTTTATTATTATTATTATTATTACGATTATTATGATTATGATTATTATTACGTCCAGAATGTGTTGATGATGATGAAGATGATGATGATGAAGAAATTGTTGATGCTGCTGTTGTTGTTGATGGATTCATACCAAAAATCATATGATGATGTTGTTGTTGATGTTGTGATCTTTGTGTTATTGATTGATTTGAATTATCACCTAATTCAATTGATGATAATCTTGTATTATTACCATTATTATTTGTATTTGTTAAACGAGTATCATTTATATAATTATTTGTATGACCAAATGAGCTTGAAATAAAAATATTATTATTATTATTATTTGTTGTTGTTGTTGCTGTGGCTGTTGTTGATTGTTGACTATTATTACAAATATTTGTTGAGAAATCTTCTGTATCTAATGGTTCTTGTTTGACTGTAGAACCAGCTTCGAGACCATAACGATTAGTGCCAATTATAGGCTGTTGAGGCATTGATGTATGCTGTTGTTGTTGTTGTTGTTGGTATGAATTATTTGAATTCTGATATTGATTTGAGGAATGCGTATTATTCTGATTACTACCGTTGTTGTTGTTGTTATTATTATTGGGAGAGGGACCGTTATTGACTGATTGATGATGGTGAGGATGTTGTTGGTGGTGATGATGGTGGTGGTGGTTTAAACCACCTGTAATCACTTGATTTTTTTGCTGTTGTTGTTGATTGTTTGATATTAATCCAGAAAATAATGATTCCTGTTGTTGTTGATGATGATGATTATTATTATCGTTCTGATCGTTTGTTATAAATTGTTGTATTGAAATATGATCAAATGTAAGTTCAGGACTACTGAGATCGGTTGTAATACCAACATCCGAACCGTTATTAATATTTGTTGTACTATGTACAAGCGATTGTAATGGTGAAACACACTTTGTAACACGATTTGTTGTTGTTGTTGTTGTTGATAATTTATTTGTATCAAATGAATTATTATTATTATTATTATTTAATGGTGATTGATGATGATCATAAAAATTGGAATCCATTCCAATCGATACCGGACTACATACTGGCCACTCAGTGTCTAGTTCATATGAACGTTGTTGCTTATAGGACGCCGTTTTGATTGAAATTATTATTTTTGAATTAGTTGCAAGCTTAATTCTAAATAAATTAAGCAGCAACTAAATTCAACTAAATTTTAACCGAAAAAAATATATTAAATATATTTTGGAGAAAAAAAACAAACAAAAACAAACACCAAATACGCCGCACACAGGATATCGATATTTTCTTCTAATAATTTGCACTTGTTGGTTGATTGGTTGGTTGGTTGAAAATGATGATGATTTATATGCAAGTTTTCAATACGACTTTGGATAAGAAATCGAAATCTTGACGACAATCAGTGATGTACGCACACAAACAAACACAGAGAAAGATGTAATTCCAGAATTCCAACAAGAAGAAACAAATCAAGAATCAAAATTCTGTGTTGATTTAATTGTGGAAAAAAAATTTGATTCGTTTTTGGTTGAGCGTTTCAAATTCAAATTCTGTTCATTTTGGATTTCGACAATGATGATGATGATCGTTGTGTGTGATTTGTGTCTGTATGCGAAATGATTGGTTTGTTGGTTGTCGCGCCAAAGTTAAAATCATAATATTTTTTACTTGCAGAATTGAAAATTCATAACCAGAAAAAGAAAAAGAAAAGAAAAGAAAAATTCAACAATGTGTAATGGTGGTGTAAAAATATATTACAGTTATATGTAACTTTCTATATAAAGTATCTATCTATCTCTCTGTGTTTCTGTATGTATGTTGTTCACTATAGGAAAGATGAGAATCGATTGCCAACCAAAAATGTTTTGTTGTTGATGATGATGATGATTCAAACTAAAGCTGAAATCCAATGAAATTAACTAAAAAAAGAGAGAAAGAAAAAGATAGAAAAAAAACAGAAATAAAAAACTACGCATACACTCCAAAGTGATAACCAAAGAGAGAGAGAGAGAGATCGCTCCATGGATACTACTTTCTTTTTGTTGTTTGATGCGTACTGACTTTTATTTTGGATGGATGGATGGATGGTTGAATGGATTGATTTTTGTATAATAAAGATAGAAAAAAAATGATAGAAAAAATGAAATGGGAATAATAACAGGCCAGGCGGCAACCGCTTGCAACTTTCATATGCAATGCAGGGCAACAGGAGAGTTGGAGTTGGATTTTTTTTTCCTTTTTGTTTTATTCTTTATTAGTGATTTGAAATGTAATGTAATGTAATGAAATACACAGACAACATACATACATAGTACATATACGCGTTTTTGATCCATAGGAGGAGAGAGAGAAAAGTATAAAGCTTATATATAAATGAATGGAAGGCGCCAATAAAGAGGATTTTGGTTTTTTTTTGTTTTTTGGTTTTCTTGGTTTTCTTGGTTGGCTAAAATATGGAGTATATAATGAATGAATGAATGTGAAGATCTCGAACAAAAAGTAGCAAAACAATAAAAAATGAAGATATCAAGATCAACCAAACCAAACCGAAAAAACTTTTAAAAATTTCAAATTTTTTTTAAAATAATAATTTTTTCTTTTACTGGATTAGGAAAAAACTATGGTTCCAAGCGGTATATGTCGGTATATCCGATTTAAAAAAAACCGGGAAGGTCCGTTTGCTCCCACTGATGTCTTTCGGTGTTGTTCCTCTGTTTTTCCCCCCTGCTTTAATTAAATTTTATTAAAAAAAAAATCTATATTTATAAACTGATTTATAAATTGGTTTTATAAGGATGATGATGACGGTATCATCGATGATCGAAATGTATGGATGCAATGGTATAGTGTGTGTGTGTATGTTTTTTGTTGGTGATATATATTGATAATAATGGTATATGATGTTTCGGTATTTGGTGATTGGTTGGTGGTGGTGGTGGTGGTGGAGTTGAATCCCCAAACAAGTGCTAACGAGTTCAAGCAAGTGAATTATTATTATTATATTTTCTCTCTTGTTGTTGGCTCCTTTCTCCTTTCTTTTTTTGCTTTTACTTTTTCATTTATTTTGTTTCAATTAGATTTTGTTTGCTTGCTTGATGTCCTTGGCGTTTTTGTTGTTGTTGTTGTTGTGGTATGATTATACTTCTTTATCATCATCTGCAACTACTATGGTTGATGATAATGATTTTTCTGATATAACATTGTTGTTGATATCTCTATCTCTCTCGGTGTGTGTCTTCTCTTATAGCCAACAGAATTTGGTAGCTAAAATTCTTAAACGAATCCAGAATTATCTTCATTCATTCAGTCATTCTTCAGTATTGATTATTCTGGAAATCTTTGATAGAATTATCATTTTCAAATGAGACAAAAATTCTTCTGAAATGAAAATGGGTAAAAGTTAGGGTTATGACAAAAAACATAAGCTTGGATTTTTTTTCCTAATTCTTGGCTTGAATGAAAAAAACCAGAAAATAAAAGTTTAGCTTAAACAAAATTCTCTTTCTTTTCTTTTTTTTTTTGTTGATAAATTTCAAATTCATCATATCACATCACATCATGTGTCACATGTTGCATTTTTTTTTGGCTGTTTCTTTTTCTATATTGTGATTAAGATGATGTCGATTGATATTGCCACTATATGATGGCAATACATTTTTTTCGTTTTGTTTTATAAACATTTTTTTTCTTAATAAAACACACAGTGTGATTTTTTTTTTAAATAAACTTTTCTAATACGGGGAAAACGATCCTTGAACCTTCCCTATCCAAAAACAGTAACAAATAACAACAGTGAATTTTATTTTTAATTTGAACCTTCGGGCCCTTTGTGTTTAAAAGAAAATCAACGATGTTTGCACCGAAATCGTTTGTTTTGTTTTGTTTATGATTGAAAATCATTAAATTATTATGTAACCAAAACAGACAAACAAACAAAATTTTGAATCAATTAGTTAATTAATGAGAAAATTTTGTGAATTATGACAGGTTTTTAGGATTTTTAAAATGCGATTCTTGATTGATTTAAAATGAATGAAAATATCAGACTTTTGGTCAGAAGAAAGAAAGAGAGAGAGAGAGAGGGAGGGAGATAACAAAAAATATTATTGCATTACAGATTGGAAATCCAGAGGCAATGATTTTGTCTGTTTTGTTTTGTTTGTTTGATTTGATTTGTCTGTGTGTTTGTTTGTGTGTATGAATAGTTATAACTGCCTAAGCTGTTTTAAAAAGTGAAAACAAAAAACAAAAAAAATTGTTTTTCATCAACATTTTTGTTTTCCCTCAAATACATTTTGGTTCACCTCTTTAAGATTCTTTAAAATAATTTGTTCCCTTTCTTAAGGGGGTGTTACGTGTTAAACAAGAAACCAGGAAAAAAATATCAAATTCAATCAGGTCATATTTTGATAACTTTCTTTTCGATAAAAGAAGAAGAAAAAACAACAAAAAAAAACTTTTTTACTGATTGTTTTTCAACAATGTTTCCTAATGGTCCTGTTGATTCATTTGGTTAATTTGCACCCAAGCATGTAAAAAAAATTTAACCCTCTCTCTCTCCATCTCTTTGGAATTGTCTTTCTATTTTTCCATTTTCAAGTACAAACAAACCTAACGAATATTTGAAATAAAGAATTTTCAGTGCAAAAAATTTATCATTATTCTGCTATTCGGATTTTGATCCGTTTTGTTTGATTGTAAAAAAAAACCTTGTCCTTTTTTGTTCCCATATGTTTCAAAGTAAAGAACAGAAATAAATAAATAACGAACTAAACCAGTATACTGCTACATACAAAGTTGGATTCTTTTTTTTTCGTTTTTGTTTTTGGTTCATTGTTCATCGATCCAGTGAAAGAAAAAAAGAATTCTCGATCCTACCGGTTGTTGGATTCATTCATTCATTCATTCATTCGAATGTGAAACGGAACCAAATTGAACCAGAACACCAAAAAAAAAACGAAACAAACCTCTAAATAGAATCAAACCAGACTAAACCAAATCAAACTGAACTGTACTGAACTTTAATGAATTTGAAATTGAATTGAACCAAAAAAACAGACAGACAGAATATATTATTATATTTGATATGGTTCATTTTTGGTGTGCAAATGATAAAAAAAACAAAATATATGTGGTATAGCAACAGCAGAAACAAAAAAATTCAGAATCAAGAATTTACCGTTATTATATATTACCAGTACTTTACCGTTATTTGAGAATGAATAATGCAAACAACACCAATACATAAATACCAACCAGTTTGTATTGGTATGCGCTTGAGTTTTGTTTCTGGTTTCTGGATCCAAAATAGAGTTTAAAAAAAACGCAAACCAGTATATGAATTATACAGCATCACAGCTACACCTAACCAAACCAAACCATCTGGTCTATCCCAGACACACACTTGTTTCAACTGGCTACAACTAGTCTGGATTCTAGATTCAGGATTCCTTTGTGTTGTGCTTAGTGTGTTTTGTGCACATTTTTTTTGTCTTTTTTTTGTTGTTCATATCTCTTCATTTTAGTACATTTCCCAAAAGAACCAGATTGAACCGAAATTCCATTCTGATGTTCAGTGGTTTTTTTTCCTCTTTTACTTTTTTCTTGTTCTTTTTTTTTCTCTATCTGGATTTTTTCGAGCGATTTTTTTTTATCATTGATTACGATTTGTACTTTTTTTTCAGAAAAAAAAGAAAAAGAAAAGAAAATCTATAGTTACATGAAGACTGAGTGGAAATTAATGTATCACTTATGAACTTTTAGAAAAGAAAAATCTTTTGATACATTTTTTTTGAAATAAAATCAATACAAAAAGATGATATGATTTTTTTGGAATACCGAAAAATACCGAAGAATTTAATCAAAAATCAATTAATAACTGGACATTGTTTCTGTTTTGTTTTTTGTTTTTTTTTGTGAAATTAATTTGTCAATTTATTACGTCAATTGACAAAGAGAAATTCTTAGAATAAAACTTGGGTAATTTTTTTTTTTTTTTTTAATCGAATTTCATTTTTTTTATTTTTTTTCAAAAGTAGTGACAT